CCTTGCCTCCCCCTCATCTCAAAATTTTCCATGGCCCTCCCCTACAGGTACCAGTAATTTCCCGAATATAGTACACATCCCGATTAAAGTACGCACACCCCGATTTGGGGCTGGTGGGAGACAAATATTCCCGTCTGAAACGTAAAATGGAAAAACTCGAATAAAATACGCCCCCCTTGTACGCACGGCCGGTGCCACTGTGGACCTGTATGTATGTCTTATTAATAAAAGACAGTTCGTTCTAGAAAAAAAGCTGTTTAAAAAATAGATTTAGGCCGTGTACTACGGGGTTGTGTGGTACTGGTTACAGTATTGTAGCGGGAAACGTTTGGTGTTGGGGCTAGTTTCACCGCTGGCCGCAGCCGATTTGCAAGACGTCACCACCGCATCGAAGGATAATGCGAGTGCGGCGAAACGTACAGCTTTGGATCCTGGAGAATGTTGGTGATCAAGCAACGGCCAACAAAGATTTGTGAAAAAAAAAACAATATTCCAATATTTGTTTTATCTGTAACCGGGGGTAGCTGAATGTTGATGCAGAAGTACGTAGCTTTGTTGTTCTTTACTGTACGAAATGCACCGAACACTTCTTTAAGACCCTTTTAATAGCGCCCGCCCATCGACCCAAGGGGAGCAAACAATCGTCGAGGCGGAGATCTGGGCTGAGTAGTGATGCTACTGTGGGTGTAGAAGTGCTACTAAATTAAAAATTTGACACCGAAACTAAAGCAACAACAAAAGGCTACTGGGACTTGCGATTCCGAACAGGAGAGAGTGAAATGTCTGACTGCGTTTGAAATAATCTCTCGTAATGTGAGATATGTTTTTGTCACAAAATCAAAGAGATGTACACTTCAAATATGTATAAGTTTGCACTCCGTAAAACTTATATGTAACGTTACAGTCTGTTCAGAGGAAAGAAATACTTCCTTTTCGGGGCCCAGGTTCTGGAAAGCTGTCCTCAGCGCTGCCACGACCCTCTCTTCGTTTTTCAGTTGTAGGTGTACTTTGGGGAATTAGAGTTCGGCGTGAACAAGAGAACGGACGTTGCATGATTCAAAGTTTATTTACGCCCTTATTCACGCCGATCACACTTAAGTACGTGCACGTGGCTTCCCGGTCTAGTTGGGGTACGTTCATGCAATGCCAAGGCAACGGCACGAACACTGGCGCCACGCCTGTCGGCGCGTACAGACTGGACCCGCCCACCGGCCGGCGGTAAGATTTCATTATTTATTATTAAAGACTACAGTTTTATAACCCCGCCCTATCA